GTCGCGATTGAGACCCTTTCTACGCAACAACTACTCGACAGTTGCACAGCGTTTGTGCGGGAAATGAGAGAGGCTAGCGCGCCTTGGCTTCGTGAGCGCATCATCCAAGTCTACGGTGAACCACCTGAGGACCCCGCGATATTTCCATACTGGTTTGCCTCTGTCGTCCCAATCGTGGAAGAAGAGAAATATGTTTTATTACAAACAGAAAGGGTTCGCGAGCGTCTGAAGATTGTTTACTCGTGGATTGGCAGGATCCGCGGGCAAAGATGGTAAGCATCTACCTTTTCCTATCTAATCATCTCCCCAATCCCTCGGCTCTCGGCACCAGGAACCCGGCACATGCACTAAGTCTTGGGTGACACAATCACAAACGGTGATCGTCCCGCCGTCGTGCAGCATGGCTTCCGCGGAGAGACGTGGATCATTGCTTGTGCGCTGATCACTATGACGATAGAGATACCGTACGAGTGTCCAGTGACACATTCCCGTCCATGCCATTGGCTTTGGATACTTTCGACGCAAAGATATATCCGGTGCAGTAGCTGACAACGTATCGATAGGTCTTCGGGCAGCGCATGCAGTATCCTATGACTCTTGATTGCTATAATTACCATGGGCATCTCGATCCTGTCTACGCCTCCACCTCAGCCTGCCACCAACTCCCACTAGGAGGACGAGACGCTTACATCACATTAAGCTCACGACTTTCCAATACCACCAGATACCCTTCGCTCATGGCCAGAATTTGATACCAGTCCTCACGTCTACATGCCCTTCGGCATCACGAGGCACTATTTCCTTTACGTGTATTGCACTATTTTACGTCACGAAGATCTCGTTTGCTATGATATGTTCTTTCGCTTCTTCAACGATTACCCCCTTTCAGGAAGGACCCGGAGCTTGCCGCGGTCCATGTTCAAATGGCTTTTTTAGACCCAGGTGCCAGCCTGGCCTTCGTGGGAAAACTTTTTTTCAGGACAGTTTTCGAAAAAACGGCATGCTGTAACGAAGGGTGAGGAGTAAACTTTGCATTTGGCAGGCGTTGTTTCTATCGTGTCGATTTTAGCGGGGCTGCTTTTGCTAGAGATGAGGGGAAGATGGCTTTGTAGATACTAGAGTATTTGCGAATGAGATATGTCCATCTCTGATCTATGTTCTGTGCATTGCCGTACTCTATAACACGGTCGCTGATGATGACTTCACATTTACTCGTAGTTAAAATGTCTGATCGCAGAAGTGCAGATCCAAGGATGATATGCCCCATTCAAGTAGGCACGTGCCAATCCGCATAAAAAGCATTGAGTTTCGAGAAGGCGATAGTATGCTTCTACTTGGATCTTCTGTATCCGGTTTCGGCCGCTGGGTCGGGGTTTGGCACATCGGCGTTCTGACAATGCTGCAACATCTTGCTGTCGCTAGGGTAGACCCGTTCACTGATTAGGCAGTTGACTGTGAGTGTTGTTTTCATGCTCTTATGTGTACCTTGATGGCCTTCAAGAGGCCACTCTGGAGCCTACAATGACGATAGATCTTCCGATTTGCTTGTTTTGTCATAGCGTAGTCTGCAGAACTGTTCAGTTTCTTTCCTTTTCCGAGGTGATGGAGTCTAAGGCTTGTTGTGCGGAGAGACACGTGGCACGAATTCCCATCGTCATCCTGCTGCTGCCATCCCGACAGCCGCTGGTACAGCATCGTCAACATGTTCTGGTGGACGGGCTTGTCAATACGATCGATGGTTGGCATAGCTTCTTCAATCTGTTCAATCTCTCGGAGTATCTTAGTGTTACCGTTGCGCGCAGGGTAGGGTTCACGTTCTCTTGCAGGGCATCTGAAGTCGATATGAGTATTCATCTTCTTCTGGGGCCGAAACTTCCTGCCGCAGTAAATGCATTCGAAGCCGAGAGTAGACCCAAGACTCTCATCTACCGTGGTCTATCGGGCGGTGTCCATTGCGTGTACGGTTCGGTGGTGTTCCTCCAGAGTCACTTTGTTGTTGAAGGTCTCCGGGCAGACAGAGCGGTCGAATGAAGAGTTGGATAGTTCTCGGTGGTGTGTGCGCAGATGTTGATCCAGGTTGTTCTTAGTGGTATATATTTTGCTGCATTTTGCGCACTTCCATGTCTCTGCCAATATCGCTGCCTCACGGCATCGCTTCTTTGATGCAAAGTTTGCTTTCTTCGCTTCATCGTTGTGTAGAAACATGTGCGTCCTCAAGCTTGCTTCATTCTTGTAGTCCTTAGACTTATAGGACATTGTACTCTCTGTGCTGTCATGGTAGCGGAAGGAACGAAGGACGATTCTAAATTCCTAGCGCAGGTCTGCTCCGACGATGTTGGTAAAGACCCTTGGCGTGAGGCGGTGTCGATGCACGATGAACGCAGGCAGGCGCGGCGTAGCTGTGAGTGCAGGTACGCTCAGGCGAGGTTGGACATAAGAAGATGCCCAGATCACTCATCCTGGCTTCTACGAGGGCGTGGCAGTCGTTTGTTCCTTCCAACTATTCATGGGGTTGTTGCCGCGGGTCCACTCTTCGCGCGCATAGACGGTCTAACCTCTTTGGGCGAAAGACCGCATTCGCCCAATACATCGTGTTGCGAATACTTACGCCCTGCGAAATTTCGCGTTCTGCCGTGGTTGCCTAATTCCCCTAAGTTGCCCGCTTGCGACGCGGACCCCGTGGCTGCTGACAGGTTATTCGATCTCGTGCCATTTGTCTCATCAAATCATACCGTCTCGGGCGTATTCAAGGCGCGACAGGCACGTAGAGCTAGCTTTCCACGTATGCAGGAACCAGTTGTACAGTCACAGACGTAACCAACGGGAGACAACATCAACATCGAGCAAAGCAGCACCACCACGCGCCGCTACAACCGCCGGCACTCGGAGCCTCCTGTTGCCGCGCCGTGAATATTTGAACCTTACGAGACGCCAAGGCCATCAGCAATAGGTACAACCCTGGGGTAATACGGCGGATACGGCTGATACGGCTGAAACGTTTTCCGAGGCCGGTTTATCAAGCCTGCACACCCGGCCCCCAAATCTAGTCACAGCTTCTCCTTCAGTACCATACGATCGTAACACCAGGCCACGCACATCCAACGCTATAAAGGCGACCATATAGGAAACGCTCGTCAGTCGTGCGGCTATGGGAAACACAATGCACTCATCGCATGCCGATGCCTCCCAGCTAGCGAGCTGGAAAGCGGCAGCGAACACTGGTGTCATTGCTGTGGCCATCATCGTCCTCCTCGTCATCTTTATCGTTCGAGTGGCGTCGAAACCGAAACCGTACCAGCTGTTTCCCGTCTGGGCAACACTTGAGATTGGGTTAACTTCGCATCTTCTCTCCGAGAATGGACTGGGTCGCCGTATTCTGTGAGTACCATGAAGCTTTAACCATATAGAAATAATACTCATGTCCGCTTTTGTAGGATGTTGCTGCGGCGAAACAGTGGATCTCTTGTTGGGCTCTCATCAAAACACCAAATACTCATCGATTCGCCGCACATCACACGGTTGATGGCAAAATCCATCTTAGATCCTTTGCCGTCTCAGTACACCCTTCTCGTCCGTGTATTCGGCGGCGTAGACTCACTGCAATTCAAAGAAAAGATGGACGCTTCAAACAGGGATCTACGAGCACCTGTCGAGAAAGTCTTCATGAACGAGAACGCTGCCACTGCTGCTTTGGAGAGAGCCTGCATACCCGAAAAAGTGAAGTCCTTCGTGACCTTCCAGTCTAATCCTCGCGACATGGAGTTGTGGGAGCATTCGGCACAAATTCGGGTGATCAACCCTGAATCCGGTGGTGTTGAGAAAGTGGAGGCAAACTTCCAAAGCTTGATTCGAGACTTTGGCGCCTGCATCGCTATCCCACAGCTATACGGTCGCGATTTCCTCGATCGATATCCACAGGCACTAGAGGATCTGTGGAAGTTTGATAACGATCTCTTCCCCCTTTTAATGATTGGCCTGCCTCTGTGGGCTCCTTTGAAAGTGATGAAAGAGGGTCTCGCTGCGCGGACCCGTCTCATCACTGAACTCGAGGCTTTGTATCGCCGAATCGACCAGTACCAGCAGGGAGATCCTGTCGATTTTGACGCTGATATGCGCGACGTTGGTGAAACAGCATTGGGAAGGAACAACGTCTACAGGAGGGAAGGTTGGTCCTTCCCTGAGCGTGGTGCTGGAGACCTTGGACTCCTTTGGGGCCAGAATGCGAACACGCAACCACTCCTCTTCTGGCTGTTAACCTACTTATATTCCACACCCGATATCTTGGAGCAACTCCGCGAGGAACTGACCCAATATATTACGATGTCTACGTCCATCCCCAGAGAATTGACATCGATGGATATGCAAGGCTTGTCAAGGAATTGTCCGTTGCTGAAGGCGTGTATTTACGAGACCTACCGTCTTGTAAACGAACCAACGTTTGTATCCCCGTTCGAACTTTATGTAGGACATTTACTGACCTCGTGCACCCACATCTTAGGTCCATTAGATCTGTTGGTTCAAACACAGTTCACGTTACGGACGGGGATTTGAGACATGAACTCAAGCCGGGTACATTCGTGTCGGTACCTTATTCTTTGGTAAACCGCGATGCTTCGATCTACAGCGATCCCGATAAGTTTGACCCTGGACGATTTCTGGAGCTGGACCCGTCATCTGGGAAGCTTACTGCTCGATATGGACGACTGAAGCCATGGGGATCTGGCTCTGCAATGTGTAAAGGCAGGATATTTGCTGAGAAGGAAATTGTGACATTAGCTGTTGCTATCATTACAATGTGGGACGTTGGCCCAGCGGACGGGGCATGGAAGCTTCCGGGCAAGGTTCCGGGAACCGGAGTGAGAAAGCCGACCAACGATATACGTGTGGTGATTACAAGACGGATTTAGTATACGACATAGTTAGCGTAGTATGCATGTAGCATACAGCTCTCACCAAGTATCGCAATCGTTGCAAACATTCGAATTTTATTTCCGATTACATTAACGCCTCAGTCCCTCGTCCCAAGCAACAAACGTTTGGTGTCGATAGTCTGGCATACACTTCACTTTCTCCGGCGGAGAAACCTCCCACTCGATTTTGATATCATCTCCTTCGTCCGCAACATGCTGCAGACAAGTCAGTATGTGTATCACATGCACTTCGCACAGTCAGAACTTACCTTGGATGTGGATCCTTTCAAAGCCCTGAGCTTCTTTGTTCCTTCGTCCGAGTATTCCACGTTAACGCTCGGTACCACAGCAATCTTGCCATAACCGTTAAACCACATGTCCTTGGCGAACAGCTTCGGCTCGCCTTGAAAACACTCGCCTTCCTTATGCGTTCGAAACTTGATCTTTTTCTCCATGAGCGGTTTCGCGGTGAAGGCCGTTATGCCGTTCCAGCATGAAAACACCTGGAATGGTTTTGAGGTCGACCAGCGCGCTTGTGATTTAGGGTCATTATAGAAGAGATTCCAAGCGTTATCCCATGATCCGTCTTCCGGGATATTGAAGAATAGGTCCCCAGTCATTCCTAAGAAATAGGTATACTCAGTCAGTATATGTCTCACATGCGCTTCGCACAGTCAAAACTCACCGCGACCGATCCAAACATCATAGTAAGTCGGGTTGTCGCCAACGTATGTCCAATCCATGGCACACGTTTGATCTGCTCCCTGGAACTTCCGCTGATGGATTATTTCTAGAATATCTTCCATACACAAAGCCACGTCGTTGGAGAAGATGACCGTAGTATCCTCGTCGTAATGCTCCGGATGTGCGATAAGGTCTCTCAGAGCTAGATTGCGGAGCTTTGCAAGGTTCTCGATGCGATTTTCTCCTTTGGCTAGAGGGTTGATATCGCTCGATTTGAAGTAGTATCGAATACCTAGGAGTGCTTAGCTTTTTTATCTCTGAATGTAAGCTGCCTTGGGTACCTAAAAGTTGCATGCTAGAGTGAAGTTGATTGAGTATATCAAAGGTGCCATCGTCGGATCTTCCTTCGACTATAGATAGCACGCAGTTTTGTGGCCCAAGGAAGTACATAGTTTCTACTATGGAGCCAATCAATCGCGGAAGAAGGTCAACACATTGATGTAGATCGAGGGCAAAGAAGTATCGAGGAAGTTGCCCATGTTGGAGTGATCCAGATGATCCACCGAGATACGCATACCTTTCAAGGTTTGGCTGCGGGCACTCAAGTCGTGGGAAAGTCGTAGACGCAGGATTCATGATGGCGTGCAGATATGCTGGTATATCAATGACGGTGGCATTGTTACTTTCCGAAAGTCCAGAACCGCCGCTGGCATTGGGAGGCTCGGGGGTTTGTGATGTTGTTGGCGAGTCATCTAGGTTGCTCGGCTTCGTTTCTAGTCCCAAATGTTAGATCCGACTCACATTATCGGGAAGCAGAGGCTACACACCTGCCGGGGTTGGTTTGACAATACCAGTGACGATAGGTTTTATTCGCGAAAGGGAATCGCCATAGTCGAAAAACCCAAAGCCGGCTATCAGGAGGAAGACAACAGCAAGCAACGCGGTCGCCTTGAAGACCGATCGCAAGCCCCTCGTTGTCATTAGAAAGGAGCGACGAAGAAGAAAGAACAGGGTGCAACTGAGAAGCAATAAAGCCGATGAAGTCTCTTTCAAAGAATGTAGCTGCGTGACTGAGAGTGGCAAGTCGGATTCGCGCCGTTTCGCGTGGAGGAAGCGCTCAGAATAGGCCCACGGGTTGCGGCACGGCGGCAAATGACGCAGACAGTTATCCCACTAGCAACACTGTTTGGGTGAACAAGTGGCCCGTGCGTGCCTCCGGAGCGTCTGTTACCAGTGAAACCAGTCAACATATCCCTTCTGCCTTTCTCCCACAACAAGAAAAAGTTCAACAGCGTCACGCAGCGTCTACCAGTACCGAGAGAACCGCTCACGTATGCGCGCTTTCGCTAACTTAGTGAGCTCCGGGATATGGATTCTAGCAGCGAAAGTTGGGTGTTGGTGGCGCGCGCGGTTGTTGCTATCTCTGCCCAGGCGTTGCCAGGACCTCGGGATTCCAGGACAGATCCACGCGCGAAGGGAAAAATGCATATTCCAGTGCATCTAAATGCTTGTTGTGCTCGGGATGCGTCGCTCGTTGCCATCCTTGCCGGTTTTGCCCTGGTCGCCGAGAGCATGTCGTTGGTGTCAAACGATGAGGTCTATGGCGATACTGAATCCGCGACGATACCAGAGGTGCGAGTGTATCGACCTAGGAGATCAAAGGCGAATGGGCATTGTGGTTCGATGGCGATAATCAGGCTTAAGACAACTCAACATGGACGCTACGTGCTGACATTGTGGCAGATGGGGGCCGTTTCCCTCAAGGCTAACACGACATCTTCGCCCCATTGACTGCATAAGCGCAATCTAAGAAATGGCTGTATTATCGCCCCTGCTGACCGCAGACCTGCGGTAGGGTCAGCAGTAGCCTTTAAGTCGCATCTATGCCCCCTACGTGTCGCACCCATCGTCGCATCTGTTCTTTCGCTTCTAGTACTGTACCAATCAACGCGCCGTCGTCACCATCAACATTGCCTTTGGGAGATGTTGAGGTTCCTCGTGTATCTTGTCGCCTTGAGCTCCGTGGAACCTGTTCGTGGCCGTTTTGCACCCCTAGGACCACGTGCAACACAGCAAGCATCTCACGCCCAGGAACAGATTTTCAGACGACAAGACGATGCATCTGCTTCTATCTGTGGATACACCGATGGCAATCCCAGTAAACCTCGAGGGGCTGGCCCTGGTTTCGTCTGCCTGGCGGATTCCGCCAACGGCTTATGGGGCTTTTGTCACCCTGGCGATTCAGCCGAACTTTGTCTTTTAGTCGGTATATGCGCTGATCAAGGCTCTTGTGCGTCTGGATGCGGCCAACTGTCTGATCAAACGGTTCGCCGTATTTCATGGTCGGTCTCTCTATAGCTTCAGACATACTGAGGGGCTCTTCTAATTAAAGTTTCCAGTGCATCCGACCAGTTCTGTTCCACTGCGCTCTTAATTGAGTCGGATCAGTCATTGTCATACATTGCCTGCGGAAGGGAGCCGAAAACCGAAAGCATCTTCGTGACACCGAACGACGCGGTCGCAACAACGACATCCACTGAACGCAGCGGACCTTTGGACAGTTCGACCCCAGATACACAGACTTCGATACCTCCATCTTCTACTACTACTGCACCTTCAAGCGCCAATGTCCTGTCCGGGGCTTCGTTGCCGCCGTCAACGTCAAATCCGACGCCCGATTCTTCCGAACACAAACCAAATAACATTGGGCCTATCGTGGGAGGAGTTTTAGGAGGGCTTACAGTGATCTGCTTGACCATTCTTGGCGTCTTCTTCATTCGACGAAAGCGTGGCGCTTCAAAAGAGAAAGTACAGCCATCTGGATACAGCTACGGTCCCCGGGATGAATTCGCACAGGAATCTGAATTGAGCATGGGAAACATGCGACACACGCGGAAGGCATATCAATGGGATAGCAGCCGTGGACCGGTTGAGATGTCTGGAGGTCATCATGTAAACATGGAGCCTGCCGAGCTTCCAGGAAGGGTCCACTGATGCCTACGTGCCCGATGGTAGAAGCAGGATGATGCATCGAGTCGCGGTGCGGTGCGATAGTAATGTTGGAGGCTGGTATATATTTTCTTATCGGTAGAGACGTAATGTAAAGAATGTGATGAGACCACGCGCGTGCTTAAAAGATACCACAGATGCATTTAGCTCTCCCGCCAAAAAAGGACCTCAACGTTCCACGACAACACCTGCTTGTTCATGCCCGATGCAATCAGTACCTAGCATACCGAATTTGCACTGACTTGAGGTGATATACGAATGCTGTCGGCGGGTCTGCGGGTGGCGGTGGGTCCTGACGCTAGTTGATTTCCCCGCCACCTCCAGCAGGCAGGCCTCAACAGACCCAGTCATTAGCTCCTGACAATCGCGTTTGCGAGAACATTGCACCTATGAAAGCGCCTACTCTTGTTACTTTCTCTGCAGTTGCGGTTAGTGATGAAAGACTTCGCAATGCGGATGGATTTGTTGTCTCGATCAACTCTTCATCGACGGTTCCGCTCGACTCATCGCTTCGCCTGCAACATATCTGCTAATTCACACACGACGTCTCGCAACCCAGTAAGAGAGTACACATCATCTGGCAGTTATACAAAACCGATGTCAGATTGCAAGCCTGAGAACCCAGAGTCTTCCTTCCCGATGTACAAGCCGATGGAAGATATCGAACCCTTCGAGCGTTACACTGTTGGAGACTACTATCCGGTACGAATCGGCGAGCGCTTCTGCTCGGCTCGCTATCACATTGTACATAAACTGGGTCATGGTTCTTATTCAACTATATGGCTAGCGCGTGACGAGATCCTAGCAAAGTATGTTGCTATCAAATTCTGTGTATCAGGGCTAGACCGTCCGTCCGAAAGTACCATCTTGAAGGCTTTGTGGGACGAGGGAAGACGCGGTGGCGAAGAACATATCGGTACTACGCTGTTTCCTGAACTTTTGGATGAATTCGAAGTGGAAGGTCCAGAGATACGTGGTACGAAGAGAAAGCACCGCTGTCTCGTCACGACACCTGCAATGATGAGCATTGCCGAAGCGCGAGACGCGTCCCCTTACCGTTATTTTCAGCTCCCAGTAGCTCGAGCGATAGCTGCTCAGATTATTCAGGCAGTCGCATTCATGCACTCTCGTGGGATAGTTCATGGAGGTGTGTGATGGAATAGTTAATGTGGGTAGATTATCAATTCGCTGACAGTGAATCTAGATCTACATGAAGCAAATATCCTTCTGCGCCTTCCCAATACCATCGATGATCTTCCCTCAGACCAACTATACGAAAGGTATGGACAACCCACGCTCGAAGAGGTAGAAAGGGTAGATGGACGCCCTCTGGATCATTGGGTGCCCGACAATGGTGTCGTACCAATCTGGCTTGGGGGCCGCGGTGACAAGCTCTCACTCGCCGACTCCCAGATCTTTTTAAACGACTTTGGCGAATCCTTCCAGCCAGGATCTCATGTGCGAAAATCTTCCCACGCGCCCTTGATGCTAAGGCCTCCAGAGATACTGTTGGACCCAGTCTCGCAATTCTCGTTCCCTGCGGAATTATGGAGTCTCGGATGCGCAGTGTTCAGTATCATGGGTCAACGTCTCTTGTTTTATGAATGGTTCCCGAGTAACGACCAAGTCTTAGAGTATCAAGTCGCTGCTTTGGGACAGTTACCTCAAGACTTGTGGCTGAGATGGGCGAATCGCAGCTAGTATTTTGACGATCAACTGCGAAGCCTTAGAGGATTAGATTATTAGTCGTTAGAAGATCTTCTAGAGAAGTCACACTAAACACTAACTTTTTAGAATCTTAGAATTCTAACTTTTAAGCATTTTTCTTATACTAATTAATTTACTATAGTAGCCTTTAACTACCTTAACTATTTAGATATTTACGCTTACGCGTAAATAGTCTAAAATAGCTAATATAGCTATACCTAAGAGTTTACTATACTTAGTATAACTTCTTTAAACTTAATAAGATAACTTTAAAAGCCTAGCTTATAAAAACTTATATACCTTTAATAAAAAATAATAGCGTAAACTTAATTATACTATAGCTTTTATTAGTAAGAGTATACTATTAAGATACTAAGCTATCTTAGATACTATTTACTAGTAGATTTAAGTAAACTAAAAGGCTATAAAAACTTACTATAATATTATTTAAGACTTAGCTATAGCTATTAATAGCTATTTAGATTATTTTACTAACTTTATTTAAGTTCTTATTACTAGAGAACTATAGAAATAAGTATTAAAAGCTATTTACTTATTATTTAACTCTTTACTAGCCTCTAGAAGTAATACTAAAGCCTCTACTAGCCTATTCTACTACTTCTAGATAAATATAGTAAAAACTCTAAAAAATTCTATACTTTTATAAAAAGGCGCTACTAAGATAAAAGTAGTACTAATAGTAAAGCTAGCACTACGCTCTATAGCTTATCTACTACTTATAAATAATTATATTCTTATTACTTTTAGGCTAGTAGTATATATATAATAAGCCTTTTTATTTACTATATATAAAGCTATTATAAAGGCTATTAGAAATAGAATTATCTTATTTAATATACTTTAGGCTAAGGCTATAAAAACTAGTTAGACTATTATACTTTATAATAAAGATATTAAAGCTTATCTTATAAACTAAAAACTATATAAACTTATAATTAAAGTAGTTAAAGGTAAAGATACTAAGCTTTTTAAGTACTAGGTTAACTATATAGTCTAAAACGTTAATAGCTACTATAAATTAATTTTAAATAGTCTTATTTTTACTTACTTAAATAAAGTTTATAATAAAGTACTCTTATAGACTAGAGTATAATCTATAAGTATTAGACTATTATAGTATAGCCTCTAGAAGAATAGAAAAATTACGTAAATTATTTTTTTCTTTACTCTAGTTTACGCTTTCTACTTATTTAGCTAGAGTAACTATTTAAAGAAAATTTAAAAGAACTTACTTATTTTACTAT